CTCTGCTAATTCTGTGCACACAGTGAATTTCAGAATCGATATTGGCATTTTCCGAAATCAAACTACCGAGGTAATTCAATTCCGCTACGTATTCCAGTAGTTTTTCTCCGATTTTTATAGCAGTATTATGATTTTCTGGGAGAGTGCACATGATTTTAGTTTTATCGAAGTTTAGCTTAAGGCCCAAAGCCTCGTATGCGCAGGTATATGTGTTCAGCATTTCTTGTAATTGCTGTAACGTTTTTCTAACTAGAGAATATGTTGAATAGGAGAAGAATTGGATAATTGCTAAGACATATCCTTGCCTAATTCCTTTACAGCGGCGCAACTAGACGCAGACTTTTAGGGGGGCTTAGGTCACTATAAGATAATATTGGATTGAGGTTAAAACCAATTTTATACTACCCGTACTAGTCATCTGGACAGGCATTTAGAAGTCCATTTAGAAGTCATTTTAGACAACATTTAGAAGTCCCCCTAAGAAATCGCTAAGTGATCCGTATTAGTGCTCAGTGATACTTTCAACGCTCAGTGATGCTCTCGACTTTTTGTTATAGAGGCTTTTATACACTGTAAGAAATGTGTTGGGTACTCCGAACTTTTGCATAATTGCCCAAAGTACATCTCTGTTTACGGAGTCGAAGGCTTTTGTTACCATTCGATGAATGCAACATAAAGTTTACTCTTCTGCACCTTTAATTTTTCTTGTAGTTGGCGGACAGAGAATATGGAATCAACGGTACCGCGATTGTTGCGAAAGACCGTTTGCGATTCTAGAAGGATTTTTTTATATGTGGGTGCAGGCGGTTTGACATAATTTTTGCAAGAATTTTTCCTCGGATAACCAGTAGTGAAATTTCCAGGTAGTTTCCGCAATCTGATGCGCTTCCTTTGTTCTTAAGCATTCGTTTCATGACAGTGGAACAAAAAAAAAAGGTTTTGAACCTTAGTGAAAAAAGGAAATAAAAAAAAATCATGTAAGAAACTGTGGAAAGATTTATATATCTTAAAAGTTCTTGTGAAGATATTTTTTAAAATTTGTACATGAATGCAAAATCCAATTCTGATCCATTTTTTATACTTATATTGCAATCCCACTTTTTATACAGGGTGAGTTTTCTACGATGTTCTCTATGGGTATCTCGGAAATTACTGGAGATAGAGAGTTGGTTAAATGGGGAAAGAATTGCAGTTTTGTGGGGTCATAAATATGCGCCTTTCAGATTTTTGAAAAAGTTCATGGCTTACTAGATATTTCGAAAAAAACAAATTTCGGCTTTTTAAACATTGTCCCTAATTCTATTATAAGCTATTTTAGACAAAAAGTTTTCAGATAAAAGTTGTAGATAATCACATCCTTGATGAGACTGTGTCTTCCATATTTTTCTAAAGCCTGTCATTTTTGACATATGACACAAACATATGTTTTTTTAAATGGAAACCAGTTGGCCGTGACTTCATAAAAAGCGCCATTTTTTAAGCTTTTCAGCGATATAAGCTATAATATGTTATAGCCAATTCTTATCATTTTTAAACAATTTCATTGAGTTAGCCATGGAAACAAGTTTAATCATCTTTGCTCTCATAAATGTGAAGCTCTCACATCCAAATTTTGTAAATTAAAATAAACAAAAATTGTAAATATGCATTTTTCAAATGAAGAAAAGCATGTAGGATTATTGGTTCAACTTTTCTTGACCATACATTTTCGAGGATACGTTGACCGGTGAATGTTACGTTTTTCTTCTTACGAAGAGAACGGTTTTCAAGACATGTTAGAAAAGTTAAATTTACTTACAGCCAATTCTTATCTTTCTTGACTAATTTCACTTAGATTGCATGGTATTCTTATTCAGTTATGATTTATAACTTATAAAAAGTCAGAATAAATTACTAAACGGTTCTTTACAATTTACATTACACAAACTAAAACTTAAAAAAATAATATCACTACATACACTTTAAGTTATTTTAGAAAATGTTCAAAAAATCCGCCATTGTTTTGAGTTGCATCTTTTTAAAACTAAATTACTACCTATTCTAACAGAAGGACCGGTCGACTTAATTAAACTTTTCTCGTACCGCCACTTCGAGTGCCTCTCTTAATTCATAAGTTATTTTGTAAACCTTATTGTTAACTATACCGCATAAAAAATTCTAAAGTGGATAGGTCAGGTGATCAAGGAGGCCCATGCATTTAGTCCACCTCTTCCTATCCCTGCGTTTGTATAATTATTATGATATAAATAATTTTAACATTTCCTTCATTATCGGGGGTGGGGGTGGTGTGTCATAATGAAAGTCATGTTGGAACCACTCTATTGATGTGCGAGATCAACACGCTTTTCTTCATTTAAAAAATACATATTTACAATTTTTGTTTATTTTAATTTACAAAGTTTGAATGTGACGGCTTCACATTTCTGAGAGCAACGGCGATTGAACTTGTTTCCATGGATAACTAAGTAAAATTGTTTAAAAATGATAAGAATCGGCTATAACTCAGTAATTTTTCGAAGAAAAGATATTATAGCTTATATCACTAAAAAGCTTAAAAAATGGCGCTTTTTATGAAGTCATGGCCAACTATGGTTTCCATTTAAAAAAATGTCAAAAATGGCAGGCTTTAGAAAAAAACGGAGAACACAGACTCATTAAGGATGTGATTATCTACAACTTTTATCTGAAAATTTTTGTCTAAAATAGCTTATAATGGAATTAGGGACAATTTTTAAAATAGCCGAAATTTGTTTTTTTCGAAATATCTAGTAAGCCATGATTTTTTCAAAAATCTGAAAGGCGCATATTTATGACCCCACAAAACTGCAATTTTTTCCCCATTTAACCGACTCTATCTCCAGTAGTTTCCGAGATACCCATAGCGAACATCGTAGGAAATTCACCCTGTATTTTTTAAAAGTATTAATTTTAATTGTAGAAATGACATGTTTTTACATGATATAGAAATATTGGGTATGCTACTATATGGTTGATTCTACATTCATTTATTTGTTAACAGATAAAAAAAAACATATATTGTTGGGAACTTTTTTCAATCGCTGTACATCATTTCATAGTTAATTGAGCAACAAATCTTTTTAGATAATTTAAAGCCTGACATTTATTATCTTGTATTAAATTAAATGGAAACGTAATTTTTATCTTTCAGACCCTTTCTGTCCCAGTCGAATTTTGAAAAATTCTCTTGTAGTTTTTGGACAGGTGGATAGTGCCACCTGATGAAATTTTATCATGCCTGCCTACCTGACTGTCCCATTAAATCAGCTTTTGATGACCGGGATCCATAGGATATTTCGCTCTTTTTTACGTTTTTTATAACCGACCTTTAAACCAACACCTGCATTCGACGAATTTCTTCTTTGACTAACATTAATGAATTTAGAAGTGATAAAGAAAGGAAGAATATGGAATAGAAAGCATAAAGATACTTATTAAAAAAAAAGTCTGCTTAAAAAAATTATCCACTAAAAAAAATGTTTAAAAAAACGAAAGGTGGTTTAAAGGAAAGAATGATGGGATAAGTAACTATTGGAAACATAATACACACTTGTTCACGCATCTCATTATTCTTTTTTTTTTTTTAGTTTTCTTTGATTGGGTTTGGGTTTACAATATTTAATCATTTGTACAATATAAGTGATGTGCAAAAATAAGTAGTTTAATTTTTTGTTTATTTTTCTTTACATTATTCGATTATTAATTGTTTGGTTGAGAATGATCACATAAATCATTAAATTAAATTCAATTTGGTTTTCAAAATTCAAACTCAGTTGATTTCTCTATTGCCCAGTGCGCGCGATCATGGTATATAGATATATAGTATAGTGCGCGTACTACGAAGACATTCATAATTCGGTCGGTGTGTAGAGAGACCAAGTCGCAAACACTAGTGCAGAGATCCGACACTGTTTTGCTGGTTTCTGGTGTATTTTTTCGCAACAACGTTACGTGCATCCGAAGAGTGTGGGCAAAAAAGGGGTAAGTCATTTGAGTGCCCTGGCATATTTATTTCTCAACATTTTTTTTTTTTCAATTCTTTTTCGTTCAATTTCGCATAGGTCCGGCTCAAAGGCTCGCCACGAAGGCTCGCATACTTCTCGCATAGGTCCGGCTCCGGACCAAAAATATGTTGCGAAATTGAACGAAAAGAGAATTGAAAAAAAGAAAATATTGAGAAATAAATATACCAGGGCACTCAAATGACTTACCCTTTTTTTGCCCACACTCTTCGGATGCACGTAACGTTGTTGTGAAAAAATAGTACCAGAAAAATAGAAACAGTGTCGGATCTCTGCACTAGTGTTTGCGACTTGTTCTCTACACACCGGCCGAATTGCGAATGTCTTCTCGTAGTACGCGCACTATGATCGCGCGCACTGGGCAATAGAGAAATCATCTGAGTTTGAATTTTGAAACGAAATTGAATTTAATTTAATGATTTATGTGATCATTCTCAACCAAACAATTAATAATCGAATAATGTAAAGAAAAATAAACAAAAAATTAAACTACTTATTTTTGCACATCACTCATATTGTACAAATTATTAAATATTGTAAACCCAAACCCAATTAAAGAAAACTAAAAAAAAAGAATAATGAGATGCATGAACATACCGCCCACCAAAATATATATATTTTAACTAATTTAGAGGAAGAGGACAAATTTTAACAACCGGTCGCTGTAATTGTCCTCGTTGAGTTTTGAGAGTAACTACTCTGCATATACCATCCGCACCTAAATGACATTTTTCCACTCTGGCGAGAGGCCATTTAAGGGGTGGATTGTTTTCATGTTTCACTAACACCAATGTGCCGGGAACTATCGAACTAGTAGTTTCATTCCACTTTAATTTTTGATGCAATTGATGCAAGTATTCACGATGCCACCGACGCTAAAAATCCTGCTGGATTCTCTGGATTAATTGCCATCGGGTGAGTCGATTGACATTAATAGAAGTCAAATCGGGATCTGGAATACTAGAAAGTCAAAAAATGCCCTGGAGTTAGGGCAGATAAGTCGTTGGGATCAGAGCTTAAGGGGCATAATGGTCTTGAATTCAACAAAGCTTCAATTTGAACTAAAACCGTATAAAGGTCTTCGTACGTTAATCGTTGATCCCCAATGACTCTGAAAAGATGAGTTTTAAAGGATTTTACCCCTGCTTCCCATAATCCTCCAAAATGAGGCGAAGAAGGGGGATTGAATGTCCAAGTCAAATTTTCCTCAACACATGCATCTTCCGTACATTTGAGAATTTCACTCTTGGCGCCTACAAAATTAGTGCCACGATCAGAGAATATCTGGTTACACCTACCACGTCGAGCAATAAATCTACGTAACGCGGCAAGAAAAGCATGAGTGGTGAGGTCGCTAACCAATTCAACGTATAATGCTTTTGTGGTAAAACAAACAAAGAGACAAATATACGCCGTCTGAGATTTTACACCCCGATGTTTTCCTAAAGTTATAAAAAGAGGTCCCGCGTAATCCACACCAACTACTTGAAAAGGCTTAGCTTGATTTACTCGAACAGATGGTAGCTGACCCATTGGAGGTTGAGAAATTTTAGGACTATTACGAAAACACTTAATGCATTTAGAAATGACTTTGTAAATAGCCCTTCTAGCTGACAAAATCCAAAAATTTTGAGACAATAGAAATTGCAACGTTTGCAATCCAACATGCAAATATTGCTTATGGTACTGTTCTATAATCAATTCGGTCAACCGATGTTGACGAGGTAGCAAGACGGGATGTTTTTGAGAAAAGTTGAAACCTGAATTACCTAAACGACCGCCCACCCTGAGAACACCCGAGCTATCGAGAAAGAGGGAGAGCTTACGCATAGATTTAGACAATGTCTTACCACTTTGAATACAATATATTTCGTGATCAAATGATTGAGCTTGAACATTTCTAATAAGCAACATGAGAGAAGAATGTAACTCGTTAGTAGTGATATATCCACAAAGTTTATCCTTGGGATGTCGAAGATTGTGAACAAATCGAGAAATATAAACAAGAACGCGTTGTATAGTCCTAAGAGATGAGTATTTGGACAATAAACTATCGAAAAAAAATATAGAAACTATCGAAAATCTATAGAAACGGCTATTTTCAAAGAGAACCTTTTCTTCCTCCTTTATGGACAAAGAACTAGGCTCTACAGAGTGATTAAAAGAAGGCCAACAGTTTTGTGGCTCTTTAAGCCATGGTGGTCCCGCCCACCATAGGGAGTGATTTACTAGATCCTCTGGTAACAAACCTCGCGAAGCACAATCAGCAGGGTTCTTATTGGATTCCACATAATTCCAACAAGCAGGTGGAAGAATATCTTGAATATGGCTTACTCGATTGGCAACGAATGTTTTCCAACGATGAGGTGAAGATTTAATCCAAGAAATAGTTACCATAGAATCTGACCACGCATAAAGCTTACAAAACTTAAGATTGTTTTCCAGCGTTTTTGAGATTTCTGCAATAAGATCAGACAATAAGACTGCAGCGCATAACTCCAGTCGAGGAAGAGAGATTCGTTTTAAGGGCGAAACTTTTGATTTTCCGCTTACTAAAGAGACCCAATATTGAGAATTATGAGAAAGAGCACGAAGGTAAGCAACAGCCGCATAACCTTTTTCTGATGCGTCACAGAACCCGTGAAGTTCGTAGTATATGACATCATCACAAGTGATGCGACGAGGAACATTAAGAGACGAAATTAGATGCAGTTGGGATTTATAATTTTCCCAAATTTCCAAAATGCGATCGGGCGGTTTTTCATCCCACCCTATACCTAAAACCCAGAGTTATTGAATCAAATATTTAGCGAAAAAAGTGAGAGGTGATAGAAATCCCAATGGATCGAACATTTTTGCCAGCTCTGACAAAACGTGCCTTTTTGTACATGGCCTTTCCAGAATATCAACTTTATATGTGAAATAATCTTGCAGTGGAACCCACTGGAGACCAAGAATTTTGAGAACCATGTCCTTTTCAAAATCAAAAGAAAAAGAAGAATCGTGACACACAGATGACGCGATTTTATCTAAAAGAATTTGTGAGTTACTGGACCATTTTCTAAGTTCAAATCCTCCAGAACTGCATAATGCCACAAGGTCTTGCTGTAATTGTAATGCAGACTCGACCGATGAACAGCCTGTTACAACATCGTCTACGAAAATGTCAGTTTCTAGGACTTTTGCAGCTAGTGGAAATGAAGCTTTTCCCTCTGCAATAAGCTGTTGAATGGTGCGAAGAGCTAGAAATGGAGATGAGCTAACTCCAAAGGTGACAGTTTTCAAACGGTAGTCTTGAACGTCTTCGAACGGAGAGAACCGCCACAAAATACGTTGATAATCCGTATGCTTTGGTTCTATCCAAATCTGCCGATACATTTGTTTAATAACTGCAGTGAATACGATTTTATCAATGCGAAACTTTAACAATATTGAGAATATATCCTTTTGTAATTTCTCTCCCGTTAAAAGACTATCATTCAAGGACTGTCCTTTGGAATCTTTAGCCGAAGCATCAAATACTACTCGAATTTTAGTAGTAGCACAACTGAGTTTAACTACAGGGTGATGAGCGAGATAATAGAAATGACCTTCATCCGAAGCAGGAGCAGACACTTTTTCCATATATCCTGACGACAAATATTCCTGCAATACTTCAGAGTAACTGTCATAGAGAGAAGAATTTAGTAATCACTTTTCTAGCGAAAGCAAACGACGATATCCGAGTGAGTGAGAACCAGCGAAAATTGGCGAGATATGTCGAAATGAATCGCCGAAATGACAAGCCCACGATAAAATGACCAGAATCACAACGCGAGAGAGATTTAAGATATATGCTTTTGCATAACTCATCTTCCGAAGAACGAAATATTTTTTGTGGCAGTTCCTCAATCTCCCAGAATCTTTTAATGAATGAATCCATGGAATCTTGAAAATCTTCTGAGCACACCACACTGCATAAACTATTTTTACACAATCTGGTGGGGAAGCATAACCACTGAGAACTCAACCAAAAATAGTGAGAATAGCAGAAGGCATTTTGGGATTATGAGTAAGAATTCTTTGGTCCTTTAGTAAAAAGGGATATAATTCTGCTTCTAGTAGTAGATCAACTGGAGCAGGTTTTGCAAAATAGGGGTCTGCTAGCTTTATACCGGAAAGATGAGGCTTTAGAGATTTCTAGAGATTTTAATCGAGATTTAAAGGCGAGGAAGGAGTAGGCTTTCCAATTTTAGGCAATACGACTGCCTCGATTAATAGAGATGACGACGACGATGAGTTGCATGGGCGAATTTGAGACGAGATGAAGCTGGTAGCGGTAGACGATACTTGACCAACTCCGAATATCGATAAATTAATTTTTTGTTTGAACAATCCTAACCTATTGGCACATTTCTCCGTAATGAAACTACATTCACTAGCGGAGTCAATGATAGCTCTGACTTTATGGAAGTTTCCATATTCATCGCGAATTTCGATGAGAGCGGTAGAAATAACAACAGGCGAGCCTGACGATAAGAGACTAATTAACGAATTTACTTGAGAAGAACCAGAAGTGCCTGGAATAGGATTAATTTGAGATGTATGTAGAGAACCAGCAACAGAATCCTTAGGTGTGGGAGGCGATATTACATCTTCATTTTCGATTTGAATTTCGATAGAAAAATGCAAAAGAGTGTGGTGGTTTCCTTTGCATGAGTGACAAACAGAACGAGAACTACACGAAGCGACATTATGATTATTACAGAGACAGTTCAAACAAAGTTTATGTTGTTTTGCAATTGAATATCTTTCTTTAGGTGATTTTTCCAGAAATGAACTACAAAGATATATAGGATGGCCTTTAGTATTACAAAACGAACAATAATAATAGCTTACATTTTGAGAATTATTGAGATTAGATTTGCTAGAATTAATAGTAAAAAACGATTTTTTATTGCCAACGAATTTTTCCTTGGAACTATGAGAAGAAAATGATTTCTTGTCAGATTTTTCAGTAGTGAATGCAATCGATTCTAAAGCTACACACTGTTTTTCCAAAAAAGTTTTTAAACTTTCGAAAGTTGGTATATTTGTTGAGCTATGTTCTAACTCAAATCTTTTTAGTGTAGACATATCAGGCTTGGCAATAGCAATATGAAAAAGAACAAAATCCCACGAATCTACGGGTTAACCTAAATTTCGTAACGCTTCTAAATTCTCATTAAAAACATTTAGTAATGTTCTTAATTCAACAGGAGTTTCTGAAGTTAACTTAGGTAAATCAGTAATTTGCTGCCAACACGAACTTGATAATAAGCGAACATTTTCATAACGATCGACCAAACTTTTATATGCAATATCATAGTTATCTTCACTTAAATTTAAAGATTTTATTAGAGAGAGAGGTTCTTTTCCTAAAGATAATTGCAAGTATTAAAATTTTTGAATTCTTGGAACCGAACTAGTTAAATGTACCAATGATTTAAATTAATCTATAAATGTAGGCCATTCAGAATAATCGCCATAAAATTTAGGCAAATCTATTTTTGGTAATTGCAAATTAGTTTGATGAAAAACTTTACATTGATCTGTCTCTGGTTTTATATCTTTATTGAATAAACCATGATAAGTTGTGCGAATTAAAAAATATCTATCATCAAACATTTTACGAATAGACTCTCTACCTCTAAATTAGGGTTTTCTGTTAAAGACAATAACGCAATTAGAGCGTTATGATTTTTGTAGAACTCTTCATATATATTATCAATTTGCTCATAACGAATTTTAAATTGTATAAGATGTGTTTCATCTTGTGATGCATTGTCTGCAAAAATAGCGAGTTGTTCTAATTTAGAAGAAGCAGTCTGTCTAGATGAATAAAACTGTTTAAATTTATTAGATTGTGTTGCCATTTTATCTTTTTATGAAACAAAAAAAAAATGAAAAATTAATGAAACGAATTTATCTATGAATCTATGTGTGTTTTTTAATTAATATTTTAATCAAAATGAACCCAAAAAATATCTATTAGCAAATAAGATTTTATTTTAGTATCAATTTACTAAAATTTAAAAATATTCTCAAGTAAAAATACAATTTATTTCAATAATTCAGAATCGGAAAAAACAGCCAAGAACTGCGAGATATGCGAAGCGAATTTATCCAAACGATTAAATGGAATGCGACAAAAAAACGAATTCGAACGATTTTATCGATAAAAACAAATTTTATTGAAATAAACTATATTACCTATCAAATATTTTAATATTAATTAATAGAAAATTATTTAAAATCACCCAATAGTAATAAAAAATGTGCAAAAAGAAATATCTAGCTAAATTATCCGGCTGAGATGGATCAAAAAATACACAGTGATGCCTATAAAGCCCCATTTTTGATTGTAACTAGGGGGAAGTTAAGCACCACAACCTTATAGATCTATTGTGTCCCTATTTCTTAAGTTATATAACACATCATCTTTACAAAAAAATCCTCTATGGGTATTTCGCCACTGCATGAAAATCTGAATTGTAAAAAATCTAAACCTATGTGGCGGATTCATCTCTCCAAAAAAATCCTAAATGGGTATTTCGCCACTGCAAGAAAATCTACAAAATAAAATAGTTATTTTTTGTAAGCAATGTTGGCATTAATCCAACGAAGACTAATTGTCAGCAGTTAGTGTTACTGATAAACAAATTTGCCTAACGAACAAAAAAATGCTTAAGGTTTCGGAAAGTTTATCTTTTTTTTGTTTACAAAAAATAACTATTTTATTTTGTAGATTTTCTTGCAGTGGCGAAATATCCATATAAGATTTTTTGCAGAGATAAATCCGCCACATAGGTATAGACATTTTTTACAACTCAGATTTTCTTGCTTGCATCTCAGGATATGGTGATGTAGAAGCGGAGGTGCCAGAACGGACAACGGAGGCAACCAGAATTGCAGGATGCCTGAATGACACAATATGGTGAAATAAAAACATTGAGGTGGAAACTAAAGCAAGAATTTACAAGGCAACGGTACGACCAATAATGACATACACTGCAGAAACTGAACCTGATACAGCGAAAACTAAACAACTAGAGACAACCGAAATGAGAGTACTATGCAGAATAGCTGGAAAGACGCTTCTAGACAGGGAGAGAAATGAAAGCATAAGAGGAGCATGCAAGGTGGAAAATGTAAATGAGTGGGTACTCACAGTAGAAAGAAAGAATGGAACGAGCATATCAGCAGAATGGACAACAGAAGGATAGTGAGAGTTTCACGCGACAAATTACGGCTACGTCGCAGAAGCTTAGGACGTCCACGAAAACGATGGAGCGACAACTTGTCAGTCTGACAGGTAGAGACTACGAAACCAAACAGGCGATTCGCCTACTATGAAGAAGGAAGAAGAAGATTTTCTTGCAGTGGCAAAATACCCATATAGGATTTTTTTGGTGAGATGAATTCGCCACATAGATATAGACATTATTTACATAATCTTTGTTTATATGTAGATCATCATACAGTCTCAGGGATTTGACAAAAGCTAGTATTTGAGACGGTTTTGCAGAGATTAATAGTCCATCTCCGATACTCTCCATATACTCCATCTCCGATATCAGTCGTACCAAACTTTATGGCACGAATGGTTGTCCTCTCGGCACATTCAGTGTGAACGATGTGTTCTGGTATTTCCGCATTTTCCCCACAGAATCTGCACTCGCCGTTGTTCCGTAGCTTCAATATACTCAGGTATTCATTGAGAACTTTGAGAAGACACTGACAGTGCCCTGTTGAAAACCCCAAGGCAATCCGAAGATTGTTCTTACATAAATCAAGGAAAATATTTGATTTTTCTCGGTCGTAGGTCCCATACTTACTATGCGCTTCGCTGGCGCTGCACGCTGCGCTGGTGCGACAATTTGATGCGTCCATGCAGGCATAGTGAGTATGATGTAGTTCGTCGATGCGACACGTCAGTTCGTTAGGAAATTCGTTCATTGTGTTAATTCCATTGAGTAATAATTCTCGAGATATTCGGAATCGAAATAATTCAATACATGTCATCATTGATAACAATTGAACATGGTGACAAGATAGTTGTTAAATATTATAAATTTCAACTGTTTTTGTAACCAAAGAGAATCTTTTTTATCGTATAGTTTTTTAGAAAAAAATACAATTAAATAAAAAAATTGTTCTCACATTTACTATTTTAATCAAATAACTATCTAGACAATATTTTTTTTTGTATGATATAATATGTATTGATAATTTATATTTCAAATATCTTGAGAATGATTACTCGTAGCGATTTTTATCAAGAGCCATTTTGTACATAAAAAATGGCAAAATTGTATATTTTCTTACTCAGTAGTTTTATACAGGTACGGACGAAAAGTTATCACTTTCAAACCAGTTAGAAAATATGTAGGTTGCGCCCCCTAAATAAATAAATGCCTTTATTACCAAAAAATTTTTCAATTTGTAGACAAAGGTAAACTAAACAAACAAAGTAAACAAACAAGGTACACAAACAAACAAACAAAAGATAATACAAAACATTATACAAATAATATTGTCAGTCTTATTGTTTAAAATAAACATTTATAAATGTTTACAATGTCAAAGAATAAAAAAATAAAAAT